CCCTTGGGTAGCAGTTGGGAAACAGAGGCCCCAGGAAGACCACTGACTTGTCCTGCACCTTTAGGAAATCTGCATGAACCCCCATTTTTATTTTCTTCTGTGGACCTTTTCTCCCAATCTTCCTCCCTGCCATAAAGACCACCCTCTGTGCTTATATTGGAAGTGACAGGAAGCAGGGGGGCAGTGCTGCACACCAGCACATGTAACTGTGTGGTCCTTCTTTTTTTTTTTTTTTTTAAGATTATTTATTATGTACACAGCCTCTTGCCTGCATGTACTCCTGCACACCAGAAGAGGGCACCAGATCTCATTATGAATGGTTTTGAGCCACCATGTGGTTGCTGGAAATTGAACTCGGGACCTCTGGAGGAGCAGTCAGTGCTCTTAACCTCCGAGCCATCTTTCCAGCCCCAACTGTGTGGTCCTTTAATGGCCTCTTGACCATTACATCTCATCTAACAGAAAGAATAATGATTAGGTTAGGAAGGACAGAATAGAATGGCCTGTGGGCGCCACAGACTGTATAGACTTGCAGTAGGTTCCCTGCATTGTGGCCTAAAACTGTGGCACTAGGAAGTGACCTGATGACCTGAAGGCAGTGCATTCATTCCCTAGAGATGTTTGGGGGCAGGGGGCTGGTGAGAAGCTATGAGGAGCATCCCCGCCTTCACCTGGCTCCCTCTCATTCTCTGCTGTCATGGAGGTAAGGATTTCAATACCAGGTTCTTCTCCGTTTCCTCTGCTTGTCCTTCTTACCTGTCATGGGCTTCAGTTTAGAAGCTTCTGCAGAAAAGTAAAGTCGTCCCAGTGCAAAGCCCGAAGGCTCCCTAGCTTGCTCCTGTCTTCCAGGGTCACCCTGATAACGCCTCTGCTTCTGAAGAGTGGCCAGCAGAGCACAGAGACCACCTACTTTCTGTGTCCAGTCATAGAGGAAGTGGACTGTCAGACTTGGGTTGCTGCCCTGGAAACATTGGTCTGTGCATAGCGCCCCCTGCAGGTTGGGGGCAGAGCTGGGCAGCTTGTATAGAACCTGTCTACCTGGGTCATAGCCCTTCCATTTCTTGACACTCCCAGAATGTTAGAATGGAAAAGAACGAAAGAACATGTGAATCGTGTGTCTTAAATATTTACTTTGAGCAGAGTAATGCATTTCACACTCCTGTAGCAGTGTGACCACGGCGTTCACAAGCTAACTAAAACTGAAACAAAAATGACAACCCCACAGTGCACTAGGGGCTGGGAATGGGGCACAGGTTTAAGGTTTTTTAATGAACATGACATTCTTATTTTTATTTTTACAATTGATTGATTTTATTTGGGGGGCAGTACAGCTACTTTGGAGGTCAGAGAACAGCCCAAAGGAGCTAGTTCTCTCCTTTCATGTGGGTCCTGGGAATCAAACCCAGGCCATTAGGTCTGGCGAGAAAACCTTTATGCCATGGGCTATCTATCTCATTATCCTTGAACTAATCATGTTTTGATTTGGTTGTTTTTTGTTTTTTGTTTTTTGTTTTTTTGAGACAAGGTTTCACTATGTACCTCTGGCTATCCTGGAACCCGCTCTGTAGATCAGGTTGGCCTCGAACTCACAGAGATCCACCTGCCTCTGCCTCTCAAGTGCTGGGATTAAAGACGTGCATGGATAGGTGTGAACTTGACTTTTGCACCTCCTTGTTTTTCTGGACTACATTAGCTCCATTTGGGAGAAGGTCTGGAGGTGCCTGGCTTGCCCATGGAGCCTCTGTACCTGACTGGTTGGGGGTGTCCTTCCTGAAGTATGGCCCAAGGTGGAAAGTCAAGTCCATTTGTGGGATGACAGTGTACCGCCAGGTAGCTCCCACCCACATGCTGCCCCCTGGTGGTCATCATGGGCATGGGCCACATTGGTTTAGAAGACCATTTCTCTAGGCATGGTTCAGGGATCCCTGAAGGTCCCCCAACAGGTTTGAGGGATCCCTAAAATCAAAACTATTTTCCTCAACATGTGACCTTTGAGGCCGGGCGTTGGTGGTGCACGCCTTTAATCCCAGCACTCGGGAAGCAGAGGCAGGCGGATCTCTGTGAGTTCGAGGCCAGCCTGGTCTCCAGACCGAGCGCCAGGATAGGCTCCAAAGCTACAAAGAGAAACCCTGTCTCGAAAAAAACAAAAACAAAAACAAAAAACCATGTGACCTTTGGCCTCTTTCACACACACTGAGAAAACAGGAAGTACTCATATGTGACTTCAGAAGCTGTACTGGAGTTAGTTTCTAAGCAAGTGCCATCTGTTGAGTTTCAGTGCCGAAAAGCAAACACCATTATCTGGGAAAGCTATTAGAATACTCCTCCGCCTTCCTACACAGCCGTGAGAGCCTGGATGCCTTCCATGTATTTCACCGGAACAGCGTCTCAAAGGTTAAAAGAAAAGTCAGACAAGAACTCCCAGCTGTCTTCAGTTAAACCCCAAATCAAAGTAGATTTAAAAATATAAAAAACAATCCATTTTCTCATGAATTTTCTTTGTTTTGAAAACATGTGCTTTTCTCATAAAAGACATAAATTATGTGACTGCCCAATAAGCAGAATATCTTTAATGGAAGTTTTTTAGATTTCTCAGTAAAATATCAATAGATACAGCCTATATGTTTTGGAATGTTCAAAGGTTTTTGTTTTCCGTTTTTCGAGACAGGGTTTCTCTGTGTAGCTTTGGAGCCTATCCTGGAACTCGCTCTGGAGACCAGGCTGGCCTCAAACTCACAGAGATCCACCTGCCTCTGCCTCCCGAGTGCTGGGATTAAAGGCGTGCGCCACCACCGCCCGGTGGTATGTTCAAAGGTTTTATTTTCCATTGCGTGTGTGAGATGGTGTGTGCCATGGCACACATGTGGAGTCAGAGGGAAACTCTGTGGGGCTGGTTCTCTTCATCCACCTTTATGTGGGCCCTGGGTATTGAACTCAGGTTGCCAGCCTTGCACAGCAAGTGCTTTACCTGCCCAACCATCTCATCAACCCCAAAGACTTTTTTTTATAACGTCCAATGAGTTGGAATTCACGTATAGTAATCATCACTCCTATCTAATTCCAGAATATTTTCATCAGCCTACATTAGCTGTCACTGTCCTCTTGTGACAACTAATGACCACTAATCTACCTCTATAAATTGGCCTTTTCTGGACACTTCCATAAGCAGCATCATACTGTATGTGATCTCTTTTACAAGCCTGGCTTTTTCACTTAGCTTACTGTTTTCAAGGCTCAACCATGTTAGAGTGGGGTCTGAGAACTTTTTTAATAGCAAAATAGCATTTCTTTGTATGGATAGAACATATGCTATCCCTTTCTCAGTTGATGGCTGTTTTAGTTGTTCTTGCCTTAGGGGTTATTAGGAATAGCATGGCTAAGAACATTTGCACACGTGTGTTTGTGAGGACACATGTTCTCAGTCCTCCGGATAACTAGAACAATCGAGCTGCCGGGTCGTGTGGCAAGGCTGTGCTTAACATTCTGAGGAAACGGCAAACTAACTTCCAACTTCAATGCTTTTTTTCCTCCACTACTTAATTCAGTTATATAACTTTACTGACAAGCATATAAACATTTATTTTTTAACACATTACTGTAATACCAGGAAATTGTATTGAATAGTGATGAGGAATTGTGTACTCAATAACATCCACTCTCCTATATTCATATGCAAAGCCCAAAGTGTGTTAAAATGTGTGCCATTGTGTTTCTTACCAATAAAGATAGAATTGCAGCATCCATACAACTTTCATCTTGAGGCAGAAGGAATTCAATAAGCACAAAATTTTATTCTGAGTTAATATCCGTGCATTGGTCTCCAAGCAAAGCTCCTGTAGGGTCTTCCTTCTCAGAGGAAATCACCACAAATCAATTGGTAAGCTTGGAGAATAGAACAAAGCCTTGAGAGCAGCACTGTTGCACCTGATCCAACCTCAGTGTTTTTAAAATTTATTTTTATGTATGTGTGTTTTGCCTGCATGTATATCTGGGCACTACATTGCATGCAGTGCCTATGGAGGCCAGAAGAGGACACCAGACCCTCTGAGACTGGAATTGCTGATGCCTGTAAACTGTCATGTGGGAGCTGGGAATCTAACTTGGGTCCTCTGGAAGAGCAGCCAGTACGCTTAACTACTGAGCCATCCACTTCTCCAGCTTTCCTGCTCACTATATTATTTTTGTGGAATATAGAAGGGTTCTGATTTGCAATCCACAGGACAGGATTTGATTTAAGTCACTTGGGTCAGTGCACACTGAGCCAAGTTCATCTCTTCCTCCCCAACACATGTGCATATACACACAAACTCTCTCTGTCTCTCTCTGTCTCTGTCTCTGTCTCTGTCTCTCTCTCTCTCTCTCTCTCATTCCCTTTAGAAGGCACAAGCAACATCTTCATAATAGGCTGGCTAAGCTATACTAATGTTGAAGCATCAGGTTCTAGAGAAGGGTCCCTTCCTGTAGGATTTTCAAGGATGCCCTTGTGTACAATGACTTTTAAAACTGTCTAGTAGAGGTGCTGGCTGCCACCCTTGCCCTCTGAAGAACACTGTGGCTTTCTTTGGTGGGACCTCTTAGGGAGCAGAGCATTGGGCTGTGAGCTGCCATTCCAGTCCAGTGAGGAGAGAGGGGAGAATCATGAGCTCCCCTAGTGTCTTGTCATCTCCTCACCGGGCCTGTCCCTCCAGAATGGGTTCAGGGCAGTGTGCTGTGTGGGAAAGGGCAGGGGTTGGATGCCCTGCAGGCTGGCCAGCTGAGTTGAAAGTTGCTGAGAGGATGCCTTCTCCTCGACCTTCTGATTCTCACCTTCTGATGTCCCATCTACTCTGGTCACTTTGTCATGAGGCACACCTAGTCACCCAGTCAGGATTCCAAGGCTTTGAAAAGGGAGCTTTGACTTAGGCCTTGCTGGAGGAGTGAGATCAGCGCCGGTGGTCCACAGCGACCCTGTCTGCCATCATCTCACCAGCTGTTGACATGCTCTTTCCTTCTTGTCTCAGATGTGACTCCCACCCTGGGCTGTGCTCCCAGCCATGGCTGACACCGTCTTCAGCAGTGGGAATGATCAGTGGGTTTGCCCCAACGATCGGCAGCTCGCTCTGAGAGCCAAGTAAGTAGCTTTGTGGCCTGCTAGGGTACCCTTCATTCTCCACTTACTGCTGCCTTCCTTCCATTCTTTTGCAAGGTTTATTCCCAGGAGGAAGTTTGGAGAGAGGTGGCTGGCAAATGCATACCACTCTTGGCCCATGTTTATTTATTATCCACTATGTAGAACAAACTTGTTCCCATTTCTCAGATTAGGAAAATGAGGCCTGAACTCCTTGCCCATATCACTTGTGAATGGCTGGGTTGTGACCCACATCTGAGTTCAGCTGACCCTTAAACCCGTGCTCTGTCACAACAATCCACAGGAAACAAGGCGTCCTCGTTGGTTCTGCTCTCGTCACCTACTGTCGTGGATGTATAGCAAGAATACCAATTTGTTGCCTGAATGAACGATTCCCTTTGGCAGAGACCACAGCTAGCCCACAGCATCTTCCCCTCACATTCAGCAGGGTCTCTGCCCCTCTGTGGTTCTCATGTGTCCCTTTGGTGGGGGGGGGATCTTGATTTTCTTGTTAATCCTCAGCCTAGTGACCATTCAGTTCTGGTTGGACCTGCCCCTGCTACACACACACACACACACACACACACACACACACACACAGTGTGCACCTGTGACAGAGCCTTTCAGATGCCCTTTTGCCTCTTAGTCTCTTTCTGTTCTCTGGGTGCTGGCTCTGATAGGCTAGGAGCATCCCTGCAGCTGTTAGACTGTGTCAGTACCAGGAGCCAGCATTTCCCAGCTGGGACCAAGTTTAAGAAATCCGCAATTAGACATTATGAGCCTGCGGGGGACAGAGCTGAGACATCAAAGGTGGATAGAAAAATTAATCTGAAACATTCAGGAAGAGTGGTGTCACGTGTGATGTGTGAGCATCTTTGCTCCACAGCTGGCTGGTTCCTTCCATCTGGGTGCCTCAGCCCCCTCCCTGAAGGGAGAGTGACAAGGGATGAGGTTGGTCCCTCTTACCATCCCCCTCTGATACCAGGCCAATGTGCCCTCCCCGGCAGGGCACATGTTGCTGGGAGACCTCAGCTCTTGTATTATGTGCAAGAGCCCAGCTGTCCCTAGACTCTCCAGGGTCTCCTTCATTCCCAACTTCAGCTCTTGTTCAGCAGCTGCTGAGAGCTGTCATAGCCTTTCCGAAAAGCCAGTGTCAGGGTCTCCTCCCAGATGTGTGTCTGAGGGACAGTGGTACAGACAACCCACTGCAGAGCTGGGAGCCGAGTCCAATGTCCAACCCACACTTTTCCTATGAGGCATCCAGTGCCACTGAACATTCCTGAACTCACTTGGTCCTTCAAATTAAAGCAGAGATAGGGAGAGGTAAAACCTGTATGGGTACCTAGGGATGAGCAATTCTTTTAATGGCAATGATTGGCAGTGGAGTAGGGGCGGGGTTATAACTGGGTCCTGGACCAAGAGAGACTTCACTTTGAGTATGATGCTTCTGTTGACCCAGATAAATAAATGTTATGAGGAAATATGGGAAAAGTTCCAAGGAAGAGGACATGCTAAAGTCCTGAAGTTGAAGGAACATGGCATGCAGAGAGGCCCTGATAGGAGGCTGCTATGGTTTGAGTGCAGAGTGTGAGGGGCACAGTGTAAAAGGCAAGGAGGGGGCTAGGACCAGACTCCCCTACTAGACAGGGAAACAGTGGGTCCCACATTGCAAGAATTCTAGCAATGCCGACACCAGTAATGGGCACACATCCGTATCTTACAGGAATTCTCATTATGGACTCTGGACCACAATGTCCAGGTTATGTCTATACCATTCTCATGAGGGCTTTGTGGGTATGCTGGGATACTGCTGTAGTGGTCAGCCTTACCTCCAGCAGTACTATTCTCTCCCAAGGCTGCAGACAGGCTGGTCTGTGCATACATACCAGACGGAGAAGCAAAGGAGGAGCCAGTGTCTGAGCCCTGGAGAGCTGGAGGTCATCCTGCAGGTCATCCAGAGAGCAGAGCGGTTGGACATCCTGGAGCAGCAGAGGATCGGGTGAGCCAGCCAGCAGCTCCAGCAAGAAAGCCAGGGTGTTGAGCAGGGAGGGTGCAGGGGGTCTGTGGGGTACCGGTCATAGGCAGTCAGCTTCTCATTTGGGCCCCCTGGGATGTAGACAGCTGGAGCTGGGGATTGTACTGATCCAGGACCCCAGGAGTGTGGGAGTGAGCCCAGGGAGTGGTTTGGATTTGGTCTCTGTGTACCCTCCTGCCAGCTGTAGCTCAGCCAAGGGGTGCACTCAAGTGGAGGTTGATATTGAATCGCACACTGGGCCCAGCAGGAGGCGCCCTCCAGTGTGTTCTCAGCTAGGACTCAGTTATCCAATGTTTTGGTGTGTCTTTTTATTGTTTGATTTGGAAGAGCTTGGATAGGAAAATGGGATTGATTGCACTCTGCTGCTTTGGGCAGGAGCTCGGTTTGTTCTGATCTTGTTATTTTTCTGTTCATCTTTTTCCATTAGTTTCATGATCATTTTTTTAAATCAGACATGGTAGAAAGGCAGCTTTAGAAGGCGACGGTCCCACTAGAAAAATGACTGCTGTGCCAACGGCCTCTTGTATGAGCCTCAATCACACAGACAGGTCATTATCGTGTCAGTGCAAATAGGGCTTACATCAGAACGGCTGGGTCTTTCTTTTTTTTTTCCCAACCTAACCTGGCTCCTTACAGATTTCCTCCCCAAGGGTTCTGCCAGGCTCTGGGCTAGCAGTGAATGCTGGTGGATGCTGGTGATTCACACACACACACACACACACACACACACACACACACACACACCTCGCTGCCACTTCCAGGGCTCCAAACTTCCCACAGGATAGTGATCTGGGAGTGGGTTGCAGGAGATTCATACAGGCTCCCCTGTGCTGTGGAAGCATTTTTGGATGCCCTCAGCCAGCAGGCCGATGTCTCGGCCTCCACAGTGCTACCTCAGGAAGTCCCTTCTGTGGTCTGGTGCCACCCTAAGTGCGGAGTTGAAGAGCGTAAGATCCAGAGGCAATACTGTCGATGAATTGTTCACATGGAGGAAGTGTGTCCTCTCCATGATGCATGGAAACACTACGCAAACTAACAAGAGGGTTCCCAAGAGCAAGTGTTAGGTTCGAACTGGGTTTGCCCCCAAGGCCCTACAGGCCCCTAGGTGGACAGCAAGGCCAATATATGGAGAGCAGAGGTGCTCACTGTGGGGCATGCAGATGGAAGTGCCCTCACTGATGAGCTAGCTATCCCTGTCCTCCTTAGCAATCCCATCACCTCGAGAAAGACAGGCCTGTCGTGAGTGGGGCACTGTGGCAGGTATGCTTGGAAGTGGACCGTGGCTCCTCTTCCTGGGAGATTTATGACTCAGCAAGTCACTTCCCATTTCCTCAGCTCCAGGCTTCTCTGAAGCAGGAAGTGAAGCCCCCCCACCCCACCCCCGGGTGGGGGGGTGACCATCAGAGGGTTTGATGTGGCCACATACTATTCTTCATCCATTGAAGAGTTTCTGCTGAACAGCCACTGGGTACCGGGAATAGAGTGGCTGACAAACTAAACCGTTCCATGGAGGCTGTAGTTACATAGCAGGTGGAGGGGGGGGGATCTACAGTGGAAGGGAGAGGAGGGGCACCTGTGCAGCTCAGCTAGGTTCCTGGGTGCTCAGCATCTCGCAGTTTCACAGAAAAGTGTTTTTTTCCCTCTCCTGCTGCAGCTTCTCACCAGCCCAGGTGCTCTGACCCCAAACCTACACTCCCTCCCATACCCGGCCTTCAATACTGCGTCTTCAGTCTTCAATCCTGCCCTTTGGGATACAGCTCAGGCTTCCAGCCTTCTTCTGAGAGAGGCTCTGACCTCCTCCTGGCTTCCTCCGTTCCACTCTCCTCCCCATTATCCCAGATTTCCACAGGAGCTTAGTAAAATATCACCTGGGTCAAATCACCTTCAAACTCTTCCTTGGCTTCATATTGAAAGCAAACTCCAGCCTGTGACCTGCAAATCCCCTTAGCTCTCTGCCCTTCTCTGGCTTTTTGGACATCTCTTGGCACTCTTGTGTTTTCCAAGTGCCTTCTGTGGCCTCCATCTACTGTGCCTCTGGTCCCTCATCTGTCTCTTCTTGTCCCCTCACTCTTGGCTTGTTTTCTTGTTCATGGATTTCCCCCTTTGTTGAACCTGAGTTCCAAGAGAGCTATGTGTTATCTCTCCTGTTTGCTGTACTATCCCCAGCGTCCTGCACACCTGTCCTAGGTGCTCAGCTGATGGCAAGTTAAGGAGTGACTGGGAGTTAGCCGGTGGCGGGGTGAGGGAACAGCACAGACCCTTAGACTCCAACAGCAGCTGTGCCCAAGCAGGCTTCAGGTTAAGGACAGGAAGCACGTCCCTCTGACTCTGTCCTGTGCTGCAGGCGTCTGGTGGAACGGCTGGAGACTATGCAGCGGAATGTGATGGGCAACGGCCTCTCCCAGTGTCTGCTCTGCGGGGAGGTGTTGGGATTCCTGGGCAGTGCCTCTGTATTCTGCAAAGACTGCAGGAAGGTAAGCCCCGCTCTAGCCTTGCTGATCAGCTCCCTAACACGGGGCAGCTTTGCTACGTCTGTGGCATCGCACCCCAGTTTCCAGGGCAGTGTGTGCACATACGTGTGCATGTGTGCATTTATGTATGGGGTGATATCGTTTGCCTTTTGGCAAGAAGGACCTGAGGATTGGATGATATGGTTTCTGGAGGTAGCTCTGGGAAGGGAGTGAGAATCTGGGTGTGAACCCTGTTCTTAATACCATCCACTGGACCTCAGAAAATTGGTCTGGCAGCTCATGCCTCGTTTTCTCAATCTGGAAAATAGGGACAACTATCACATGTACTCCAGCAAGCTGAGGATCAGACACATTAAATTCAAAACTCATAAAGTCCTACTTAGTGTCTTGCTGTGGTGGCACATGCTTTTAATCCCGGTACTCGGGAGGCAGAGGCAGGTGCATCTATATGAGTTGGAGGCCAGACAGAAGCACTATCTCGAAAAACCAAAAACCAAAACAAAAGGCACATAGGTGCTCAGTAAATGTTAGGCAAGTACTGTTTCCTCGGGACTGAGTGGTGCTAGGCTGGAGCCTCTGTTCTGCCAGTCTGCTCTCTCAATGCCAGGAGAAAGGCCTTCGAAAGATCAAATGGATTTTCTCCTTTTCTTATGCTAAACTGTGCTGTGTGTTAAATCACTTCATAATGAGCCCAAGACTTTTTAATCATTGACTTTAGTTTATTATTTCCCAGAGAATAATATACCTTCCAATGTTTGCATTTATTTAGGGTCTCAGTTTTACTCGCTATCATATGGAGCCTGTTACTCTTTTCTTCCTGGCAGGAACTCTTCTAGATTATTCCTCTTCCAGCTATAACTGGGGCTGTACAGTAATCAGCACACAACTGCCCTTGGCTGCCTCCCTAAGTCAGAGGCACTGTTGCCCCCAACACCTTTTTTGTGTTTCACCCTAGTTTTGCTGGAACTCATTTCTCAAGCAACTCCCACATGTCAGCCACTGTTTTAAGCTTGGAGTCCTTTATTATTATTATTATTATTATTATTATTATTATTAATTATTATTAATTTTATTTATTTATATCTTATGTGTGTTGGTGTTTTCACTGCATCTATGTCTGTGTGAGGGTGTTGGGATTCCCTGGGATTTATAAACAGTTGGGAGCTGCCATGTGGGTGCTGGGAATTGAACCTGGGTCCTTTGGAAGAGCAGACAGTGCTCTTAACCACTGAGCCATCTCTCCAGCCTCAAGCTTGGAGTTCTTAAAGTGAACAAGACCAGAGGGAAAAGAATCTTCTCAAGATGACAAAAGATGACAAGATGTAGTCAACTAAGATGGTTTCAGGAATTAATCAATCTTGGGGGAAAAAAAAAAACAGGATAGAAGCTGAGGGGTGGGATGGGTGGTGGACACACCAGAGCACTAAGCATGGACTTGAAACATTAAGGCTTTTGCAGCCTCGACAAGGGCATCACTAGCTGCATTCCGAAGCTAACCGTGAAAGAGGTTAATATACCCGTGAGTAAGGGGGAAAGCCAGGATCTGGAGGCACAGTGCTTCCCACTCTGTGGTAATCCTAGTCGAAAGGGTATGGACTGATCATTGGACCACAGCAGAGGGATGATGGACACCTGTAGGGTGTGCTGGTTCCTCTTTTAGATCGGAACTAGAAGCTACATAAGTAGTGGGTGTGGGGACCTGGGAATGCTCTGCTCCCAGGAATGGGGCCAGGTGGGTGATATATTAAAGTGACTTCTGCTCTCTGCTTCTTTCTGCCTCTGTGGCCCCAGCAGTAGCTTTCCTTCTCCTATCTCTCCACCTCACAACGACTCTGAAGATTCCAGGTTTGAGGGACCATGACAGGCAGTGCCGTATCTCCTCCCCCGGGAACGTCTATCCCAGCCCCTTCCACAGTGAGCAGCTGTCCCTAGTTATTAAAGAGTTAATGCCAGCTGCTCCTCAGAGAGCCATTGCCTAGGCAACAGACTGACCCAGGGGAGGGCCTCAGCTGGATGAGGGCTGTGGGAGAGATGTTCTCCCCTATTTCCCTCCCCTACTGCCCGGTGCCCTGGGACTGGGCTGGTCGCTGGTTGGAGGGCATTTCCTTGATGTGTTCCTTACTCTGCCAGCGGGAAGTCTGTCAGAAATTTGTTCAGAGTAGAGGTGGGGGAGCAATAGATTGAGGGCATTGGGAGTTTTGGGCGGGTTTTCTTCATATGCCCTCAAGATAACCATTCTTTATTTAATTTTGGGGTTTTTGAGACAGTCTTTCTGTATAGCTCTGGCTGTTCTGGAACTCTCTCCTTAGACCAGGCTGGCCTCAAACTCACAGAGATCTGCCTGCCTTTGCCTTCTGAGTGATGGGATTAGAGGGGAGCACCACCACCACCCTGCTTGCCAGTCTTTAAATAGTAGAGGGTCCACTGTGTGCAGGCTGGTCCCAGGGGATAGACAAGACCCTTGCTGTCACTGAAGCTGTTTTCCCAGGATAGCAGAAAAGGGACAACAAACAAATTTTAAATGAGTAAAGACAAAATAATGCCAGGAGGACTGAGGGCTCTGTACTGAGTGGGGACAGTGATGTGACTTTGGCTGTGAAAGGGACACTTTTCTGAACTGAGCCTGGACACAAGCAAGAGTCAGTCCTGGGAGGATCGGGTGGAAGTTTGTTCTGAGCAGAGGGAGCTGCAGGTGCAAAGAACGTGGGGTAGAACTAGCTGGGCTTGAGGATCTAATAAAGTATTTAGAGCAGAGGTGGCAAGGGCTGGGCTGGGCCAAGTCCCACAGAGCCCCAAAAGTCAAGGTCAGCAGCTGGAATCCTGTTATGTGTTTAAGAGGATGAAACTGAGCATTGAGCACGGGGTGAAGCACTGAGAAGGGATGGGATACAGTCCTTTTTGTTATAAGTGTCTTGGCTTCTTGGGTGTTTTGCCTTATGTGTGTGTCTGTGCACTGTGAGTGCAAGCGCTACACAGGCCAGAAGAGGGCAGAAGAGCCTCTGGAGCTGGAGTTACAGTTGTGAGCCAGCCTATAGTTGCTGGGACTTGAACCCTGATCCTATGGAAGAGCAGCCAGTGTTCTTAACCACTGAACCATGTTTCCAGCCCTTGCTGTGGGTTTTAAAGGGATGACTCTAGCTACTGAAGGCAGAATAGACTACAGGGAGACAGAGCAAACTTGGGGACAAGCTTGGTGGTAATGGCTGCCATTGGAGCAATGGTGGGCTTAGGGACAGGGCAAGGCATCGTTGGGGATGGAGGCAGCCATGTCTCTGGTGTATTCTAAACAGATGGGGGAAGAACTAGAGGTTCTAAATAAGAGTCCTGGCCTGCAGAAAACCACAGGGAGAGGCCACTTGGACCACCCTATGTCTCAGAATTGCCAGTATGCTGTTCCCATACCAGCCAGGGATTCCTGACTGTGACTGGGTGTGGCAACAGGGGAGGGGTGCTTCTCTCTTCCTCACAGCAGAAACAAAGGTGCCAGAGCTGTAGGGCCAGCTTAGGTTGCATGCCCAGCTTGGCTGCCATGGAGTGGTCTGGTAAAACCCACTTCACCACTCTGGGCTGTCATTTCTTTATCTGTAAGACGAGGTCACAAAGCAGCCGTCAGCTCCAGGTGGATGTGAGGTGTGGGTTAGCTCGTACAAGGAAGTCCTTCACAGGCTAGTCCTTCACTAACACATAGCAAAGACAGGGAGACCATGTCACTGTCATTGTGACTGGGCCACCCCAGGTGCTTTCCTGATAGACTGGACACTTGGCACAGAGCATGGACCTGACCTTCGTGGATCACAGGAGAGACACAGTGGCACCATGGACCAGTCAGCCTGGACTATGTCCTTTAACAGCAGACCTTGATTTCTGCATTGGAGGACTTGGAAGTCCAAGGCAATTTAGCATCTTCCTGGCCTGCCAGATGGATGGCTTCTCCCATGTCCTCATATGGCACCAGGCAGGGGCCCTGATGTCTCTTCCTCTTAATTAATCATATCAGATACAGTCTCACACTTGGGGTCGCATTTAACCTTAACCCTTTACTTTCAGAGTAGTCTCTCTTCCAGTATAGTCACAATGGAAGTTGGGGTTCAATATTGGAATTTTGAGGAACCCAGTTCAGTCTATTGTACTCTGTTTTCCTTATTAGAATTCATGGTTTGGTTTAGTCGTCTTCTTTGTTTTCCTTCTTTCTTTCTTCCTTTCTTCATTTTTAAGATGGATTCTAAATATGTAGCCCCAGTGGCCTCAAACTCAATCCTTCTGCCTCTGCCTTTGGAATGCTGGCATTGTAGACAATACCACCATGCCTAGAAGAATTGGTGCTCTTTTGAGCTTTAGATTGAAGCTGCTGTCATTAGTTCCTTATTTTCCAAAGTTTAGGTAACTGAATTTGGATGCCTTTGCAAGTCTCAATATTGGTGTTGAGCTGGCAGGGACCCCCTGTTAGTGTGCTGGTGCCAGTGAGTCATACAGGAACAGCCTGTGTGGAACTCAGGGGTGAGGGGGGATCTAGAAGAGGGGGAGTTCTTCCCTCAGGTCCAGACTGCCAAGGTGGATAGTCATTATTCTCTAGAGTGAAACCCATATCAGTGACACCCCACTGCTATAAGAACCTAGGATTCCCAGGACTTAGCAGGCAGGATCCCTGTCTGGAGGAGCCAGACCCAAAGGTGTATGTGCTTGGGCAGGCTGAAGAGAAAGGATGTAGGGGAGAGATCCCTGGCACTGGAAGTGTCCAAGCCAGACCTCTCTGCGGAGGACAGATCCTCAGGTGCTTCTGGGGACACTGATGCCTCTCCAGCAAGATCCCTGACAGTGTTCAGCAGCCACAAGCTAATGAACACACAGGTGGGAGGTGCAGCAGCCCTGGAGCTGTGGTCCTCTGTAATTGGGCCTGCACACATGCTCACACACTGGCTGCCTGGCCTCATTTCCCCCCGGCTGTAGTGGGAAGGGAGAGGGGCTGCCTGGTTAATTAAAGAGGCCCGGTACTCCTAATTGCC